GCCTTCCCCCGGGCGCAGGGAGACGCAGACATTACAATGGGATCCGCGCCAAAGAGCCGGGGAGGAGACGAAGGTTTTCTGTAGGAGATGAGATGCAAGGCCATGCGGTACCCGGTGAGCACGGCCTATTAACGAGCTACTTGTTAAACGAGCAACGTCCGGTCTGCGTCCTGCTGAGGAGCTCCTCATAGCTGATGGTTTAAGAAGTTGTGCCCTAAGGGCTGGCACTGCAGGGCTTGATACACCCAGCAGCTGGTGCCCGCAAGCACAAAGGAAAAGCGACCATCAGAGTGCTCATCGTCAAACCCAACCTGCAGCAGTGGAGGCTCCTCCAGCGCTGTGCTGCTGTGCAGTCCTACCCGGGGTGGCAGAAGGGAGGAACAAGTCCCAGGGCCGATGCCGAGAGCTGGACGCCGGATCTGTGTCACTGTCGTGTGGGATAGGGCGATTTGGATGGCCCTTGGCGCAAACGGAGGTGTGAGAGGATGCTCCAGCTGCCAGGGGAATGGGCACACTGTTAAATCCAGCCAAGGTCAGCCCGTGCCAATCTTCTCCCCACAAATACGGCCCAGCAGTTTTAGAAAGCAACGCAAGGTCTCAAAGCAGATGTCCCCAGTCCTTAAAAACACCCAGGCAGCCTCCGAAAGCACTGTCAGCAGCAGTGCTGCAAGCATCAGCCTCTTCTCAGCCCCTGGTGTTGCACAAAATATTGCGTTACGTTTGTCTCTGCTCTCACAATCTCCATTTGGGCGCAGCAGACCAAGCTCCTGCTCTCGCCGTAGCTCCCCTTGTTGCTGCAGCCCACAGCCTCACGCTGCAGAATAAAACCCGGACTCACCCCGGGTTTGAAATCGTGTCTTCCCAGCAAGGGGCCGAGGAGGAGCCAGGGATGGAGTCCCCAAAACACCCCCCTTCTCCTCAGACGGACGCAGCAGCGCCTGCACATCTCTGCATAGGATTCAAGTCCACGGCCAAGCCTGGCCAAATAGCCCCCAACACACACGCTTCTGGGCCTGAATTGGGGGATAGCCCCTCAGGGAAGGGCTGTGGCTTGTCCTCTCCCAGGCAAGGGAGGAGAAACCCAGAGTGCAGCTTGCTCTGGCCAGCACCCACAGCACCATTCTGGATCCGCTCCCTGCCAGGAAACGTCTCCCCAGCCCTGCGTGTCCATCCTACTTGCTCTCCCTAGCTGCGATGCCCTGGGGTCAAAGCAGAGATGGAAGCTCTGTGGCCAGCTTGCCTCAGTGAAGACAGGGGTCCTGGAGGACCTTCCCATGGTCCCATGGAGAGCAGAGGTTGGACACACGCATGTCCAACGCAGCTGCGAGCTGCCCCTTGCCACACTGATGCTGTGGAGTCGGCCCATCTTGGGGGCATCAGCATTTGTGCTGAGGGCAGGGGCCATCCCAACCTACTCCACCAAGGGCAAAGCTGGCTCCAGCAAAGCCAAGGGCCTCACAGTCACACAACCGGACTCTCTGACCAAACATTCAGGCACTGCCCGAGGGCCTGCGTGGTGCATTTCTGGGAGAAACACCCTTACCGCCCGGTGCAAGTTCTCCAGCATCACGTTTAAAGGGAGATCCCTCTGTGCATAATCCCTTCCTATGGCAGCTGCAAGTACTTAGTATTTTGGACATTTCCAGTCCCCTGTCAAATCTGGTTCAAGCTGGACAAGAAGGCTTAAGTTATTTCGGGAAAAAAAAAAAAAACAAAAGGGAAGTTTAGATGAGTACAAACTGTGCTATTGCTTAAGCCCCATTTCTCTAGAAAGCCAAGCAAGTTTGCTTCCCTGTCCTCTCTGCACTACCTGCATCACTATGACGTGGGATGGGGTCAGGCTTGGTTCTGCTGCTCCTGCTTGTCAGCTCCTCCACCATGTCCCTATGAAGGAGACAGCGAGGATGACTAAGGCTGGTTGCTGGGAAGGCTGCAGTGGTCATCTCCCCTCCTCAGAAGCCACCTCCGCCAAGGCCAGACCCTTACCCTGGTGGGTGTTTCCCTCTAAAGGTTGCGTGTTGTGGAGGAGCTGAGAGAAGCTGCAGCAGCGGAGCTGTGCCCCTCAGTTTGCCAAATCTCCTACTCCCTTACTCTCAAGTACGGGGTGCTTGAGAAAACATCCACCGAGCTCCAGGATCCCACCCTGGGAATCCTCCATGCCTGCGTACCCATCAGCCACATGCTGCTCTTCCTGGGACTGCACCTGGTCCCCATCTTGGGCCAGAAAAAGCCACCTCCTAAACCCATGAACCTGGAGGTGTCAGAGCAGGGGAAGGGCATGCTGTGCGCTCCCACAGCAGGCAGGGACAGAGTCAACAGCAGATGAGGAGAGACTGGAAAGCCAGGAGCCCTCCCCGAGCTGCCTCTCACCGGGGCATAAATCCTCCCAGGCCACTGGCCAGAACCCATTCACACCAGCATGCCATTGGCACAGCTGGACTGGTTTTGTTGGGGACCCTCCAGGGGTGGAGAGGAGGACCATGCGCTCAGCTCCTCCTGGGCTCAAACAGGCTTTTTTTCTTTGCTGGTACAGCAACCACTGCTGCTGGTAGGTGACAATGCATCAACCCCCCAGCCTCGGGCAGGACACGCTCCCCCCATTTCACACACTGCCACGTAGGCAGGCATAGCCTTGGGTACGGGGTGGAAGAGCCCACATGGCTTGTGCTGGGAGGAGAGCTGCAAGGTGAGCGGCGTGGAGCTTCCCTGCGTTACCGTTATGGCATGGATGGGAGCAGGTTTTGGCTTCAGCAGCCACAGGCAGCCAGCTGTTGCCATGACACAGCACAGTTTGGTATGCCGCATTCCCAGCACCAAGGCTTCCCCATCCGCTTCAAGCGCCGTCCTCCCGAAATGCAACCTTCTCCCCAACTCATCCAGTGCAGCACCCATCTTGCTGTCCTCAACGCCCTCTCTCACCTCACCTCAGTTTACCCCCAGCAAAACCGGGAGCCCTTTGCACTTCTCCTCTGAGGGGAAGCATAACGGCAGCTCCCGACCCCAGAAATAGCCGTGAAAAGGCACTCAGAAGCACGAGGGGACAGCAAACGCCAGGTGCTGGGCTGAGGGAGCAGAGCGGACACGGCTCCGCAGATGCTGTGCAAGCATTTGCGCTGCAAGATCCAGGCTGGCCGCTCCAGCACAAGCAACCCCCAGTGCCAGAGCAAGCCAGGGTCCCCCACTTTGCAAGTGAGCACTCCCTGCCCGCATCGCTCCCCTGCCTCGCTGTCAGGCTCTGCCACAGCTCTCGACTCCCTCCCCAGCTCCTTGATGAATAAGGATTCATTGAGGTTCACGATAAGTGGACAGTTTTCTCCCCGCAAGTAACACCTCGGTAACAGCGTAGGTGTTGCAAGAGTCATTGCCTGGCTTCCTCAGGCCCAGGAAATCACATTAGCTCGATCAAATTTAAACTTTCAGGCGGTGGGAAAAGAGTCAAAAGATACCAATGCTTTTTCCTAGCCTGGGTGCTCTCCAGTTACGCAGGGGGAGGGCAAAGCTTGTAGCAGGCTGCGGTTGAAAAGGTTGTTCCTGCTCCTTTTGCAGGCTGCAAGGAGGCTGCGTTTGCACCGCAACTTCCTGAGCGGAGGCCACTACTCTGTGACACACGCACGTGATGAAATGCCAGCGCCCATGGGGGGTACAGTCTTCCCCCTGGTGCTTCGGGCAACAGCGGGTTAAATATGCCACAGAAGAGCCCATTTCCTCAAACTGTACTCATGCTTTTTTGTCTGTTTTCTTCTGAAAAGTATGGTGCAGACACGACATGGGTCTACAATAAAATGACAGCAGGATGTTCTCTGCTAGCGGACACGACCAGAACTACAGGCTACTACACAGTCACAGCTATCATTTGAAGGCTGGTACACAGGAGAACAAGTAACACGATCAAAATTTTTACTATATTACAATAGCTCTCTTTACAGTTAGTTCTGTTCACTACAACTGTCTCAAAACAGTATCTGCATGCAGATAGGTACCTCGCAGCCTACGCAAACTAGAACATAAGACAGGAAACGCAGCACATCTCACCAAAAGTGTGATCTACCCACAAGCCTGAACCCAGTCCCAAATGTGCAGGGAACCGTCGCTTGCTGCTGACAATAAAGTTCTTGGTTTCTGCGGATGCCACGCGTGCACTGTGACGAAGGGAGGGCCTCCACTGCTGTCTGATCCGCCGAACGCATGGCCTTTGTGAACAAAGATCGGCTCTGCTTCCCTGCCAGAGCTGTCCCAGCTCTGCACGTCATACACGTGCACGGTCCCATCAAAACCTTGAATAAAAGGGAATCAGAGAGACCGCAGAACTAAATTGCTTTGCTCTAGTCCCATTGGGCTCATGCTCTCATCAGGGCTCTTGAGACAGCAACGAGGACAAAGGCCCAGACTGACAACCTGTGACAGCAGAACTTCCAAGCCTCCGAGGAGCTTGTCTCAAGCTAACAGCTGCCAGGGAGAACACAGGCCAGATCCAAAAAGCTTGCAGATTTACTAGTCTGAATTTGCAATGCTCTGGCCAAGAGAGGCAGCCTTGCTGCCCAGCTGGTCTTATCAGCGCAGTATCCCTGCATCTAGGCTGTCACTGGCACTATCAGGGCAGCATTTGCTAAGGGTTTGGGGTCTTTGTTCTCCCAGGGGAGAAGCAGGAGTCCCCCGGAACCCATCCAGGCCCCTTCTGTAGTTACTGGGGAGAGGCAGCTGCAGAGGATGACTAGCTCACTCCACTGCTGGCCCCAGGAGGAGCTTTGAATAAACACCTCAGTTAGGGAGCTGTTGAAGTAAGGTGGGGTGAACTGGGCCTCAACAGAAATGCAGATCAAAAAAGAATCCAGAAAAGGAGATTTCTGCCCAAACCACATACCTGAAACGGCCAGGCAGCTTTCCAGAGCAGGAGCCCAGGAGACGCACAGGAACTCCGCAGCCGAGCTGGGAGAGGGAACTCTGCACTTTGCTGAGGCCAAGGACTCCGAGGTTTTTCTGACGTCCGTTAGGGTGAGGTGCCCTCCACTCGAGAGGCAAGCTATGGGCTGGGAGCTTGAGTCAGAGCCTTGAGGTCCGCGCCCGACTCCCATGCACCACCGCTCGCCACACGGCGCTGAGGGGACAGACACAGCCTCCAAGGGACTCTGCGGCTGCCGAACATCAGCCAGGCACAGCTGGCCCTTGGCACAGCAGAGAAG